TGTGTTGGAGAGTAAACCCGCTACAACATTTACAATCTGAGTACTGAGTACAATCACAATCAGTGCGTTACTAGTACAGCACTAACCGCTTGTGTGTTGGAGAGTAAACCCACTACAACATTTACAATCTGAGTATTGAGTACAATCACAATCAGTGCGTTACTAGTACAGCACTAACCGCTTGTGTGTTGGAGAGTAAATCACTACAATATTTACAATCTGAGTACTGAGTACAATCACAATCAGTGCGTTACTAGTACAGCACTAACTGCTTGTGTGTTGGAGAGTAAACCCACTACAACATTTACAATCTGACTGCTGAGTACAATGACAATCAGTGTGTTACTAGTACAGCACTAACCGCTTGTGTGTTGGAGAGTAAACCCACTACAACATTTACAATCTGAGTACTGAGTACAATCACAATCAGTGCGTTACTAGTACAGCGCTAACCGCTTGTGTGTTGGAGGGTAAACCCACTGCAACATTTACAATCTGAGTACTGAGTACAATCACAATCAATGCGTTACTAGTACATAACTAACCGATTGTGTGTTGGAGAGTAAACCCACTACAACATTTACTCTGAGTACTGAGTACAATCACAATCAGTGCATTACTAGTACAGCACTAACCGCTTGTGTGTTGGAGAGTAAACCCGCTACAACATTTACAATCTGAGTACTGAGTACAATCACAATCAGTGCGTTACTAGTACAGCACTAACCGCTTGTGTGTTGGAGAGTAAACCCACTACAACATTTACAATCTGAGTATTGAGTACAATCACAATCAGTGCGTTACTAGTACAGCACTAACCGCTTGTGTGTTGGAGAGTAAATCACTACAATATTTACAATCTGAGTACTGAGTACAATCACAATCAGTGCGTTACTAGTACAGCACTAACTGCTTGTGTGTTGGAGAGTAAACCCACTACAACATTTACAATCTGAGTGCTGAGTACAATGACAATCAGTGTGTTACTAGTACAGCACTAACCGCTTGTGTGTTGGAGAGTAAACCCACTACAACATTTACAATCTGAGTACTGAGTACAATCACAATCAGTGCGTTACTAGTACAGCGCTAACCGCTTGTGTGTTGGAGGGTAAACCCACTACAACATTTACAATCTGAGTACTGAGTACAATCACAATCAATGCGTTACTAGTACATCACTAACTGCTTGTGTGTTGGAGAGTAAACCCACTACAACATTTACTCTGAGTACTGAGTACAATCACAATCAGTGTGTTACTAGTACAGCACTAACCGCTTGTGTGTTGGAGAGTAAACCCACTACAACATTTACAATCTGAGTGCTGAGTACAAACACAATCAGTGCGTTACTAGTACAGCACTAACCGCTTGTGTGTTGGAGAGTAAACCCACTACAACATTTACAATCTGAGTACTGAGTACAATCACAATCAGTGTGTTACTAGTACAGCACTAGCCGCTTGTATGTTGGAGAGTAAACCCACTACAACATTTACAATCTGAGTACTGAGTACAATCACAATCAGTGCATTACTAGTACAGCACTAACCGCTTGTGTGTTGGAGAGTAAACCCACTACAACATTTACAATCTGAGTACTGAGTACAATCACAATCAGTGCGTTACTAGTACAGCACTAACCGCTTGTGTGTTGGAGAGTAAACCCACTACAACATTTACAATCTGAGTATTGAGTACAATCACAATCAGTGCGTTACTAGTACAGCACTAACTGCTTGTGTGTTGGAGAGTAAACCCACTACAACATTTACAATCTGAGTGCTGAGTACAATGACAATCAGTGCGTTACTAGTACAGCACTAACCGCTTGTGTGTTGGAGAGTAAACCCACTACAACATTTACAATCTGAGTACTGAGTACAATCACAATCAGTGCGTTACTAGTACAGCACTAACTGCTTGTGTGTTGGAGAGTAAACCCACAACATTGACAATCTGAGTACTGATTACAATCTGAGTGCTGAGTACATTTACAATCTGAGTACTGAGTACAATCACAATCAGTGCGTTACTAGTACAGCACTAGCCGCTTGTGTGTTGGAGAGTAAACCCACTACAACATTTACAATCTAAGTACTGAGTACAATCACAACAAGTGAGTTACTAGTACAGTACTAACCACTTGTGTGTTGGAGAGTAAACCCACTACAATATTTACAATCTGAGTACTGAGTACAATCACAATCAGTGCGTTACTAGTACAGCACTAGCCGCTTGTGTGTTGGAGAGTAAACCCGCTACAACATTTACAATCTGAGTACTGAGTACAATCACAATCAGTGCGTTACTAGTACAGCACTAACCGCTCGTGTGTTGGAGAGTAAACCCACTACAACATTTACAATCTGAGTACCGAGTACAATCACAATCAGTGAGTTACTAGTACAGCACTAACCGCTTGTGTGTTGGAGATAAACCCACTACAACATTTACAATCTGAGTACTGAGTACAATCACAATCAGTGCGTTACTAGTACAGCACTAACCGCCTGTGTGTTGGAGAGTAAACCCACTACAACATTTACAATCTGAGTACTGAGTACAATCACAATCAGTGCGTTACTAGTACAGCACTAGCCGCTTTTGTGTTGGAGAGTAAACGCACTACATTTACAATCTGAGTACTGAGTACAATCACAATCAGTGCGTTATTAGTACAGCACTAACCGCTTGTGTGTTGGAGAGTAAACCCACTACAACATTTACAATCTGAGTACTGAGTACAATCACAATCAGTGCGTTACTAGTACAGCACTAACCGCTTGTGTGTTGGAGAGTAAACCCACTACAACATTTACAATCTGAGTACTGAGTACAATCACAATCAGTGCGTTACTAGTACAGCACTAACCGCTTGTGTGTTGGAGAGTAAACGCACTACAACATTTACAATCTGAGTACTGAGTACAATCACAATCAGTGCATTACTAGTACAGTACTAACCGCTTGTGTGTTGGAGAGTAAACCCACTACAACATTTACAATCTGGGTACTGAGTACAATCACAATCAGTGCGTTACTAGTACAGCACTAACCGCTTGTGTGTTGGAGAGTAAACCCACTACAACATTTACAATCTGAGTGCTGAGTACATTTACAATCTGAGTACTGAGTACAATCACAATTAGTGCATTACTAGTATAGCACTAACCGCTTGTGTTAGAGAGTAAACCCACTACAACATTTACAATCTGAGTACTGAGTACAATCACAATCAGTGCGTTACTAGTACAGCACTAGCCGCTTGTGTTGGAGAGTAAACCCACTACAACATTTACAATCTAAGTACTGAGTACAATCACAACCAGTGCGTTACTAGTACAGTACTAACCGCTTGTGTGTTGGAGAGTAAACCCACTACAATATTTACAATCTGAGTACTGAGTACAATCACAATCAGTGCGTTACTAGTACAGCACTAGCCGCTTGTGTGTTGGAGAGTAAACCCACTACAACATTTACAATCTGAGTACTGAGTACAATCACAATCAGTGCGTTACTAGTACAGCACTAGCCGCTTGTGTGTTGGAGAGTAAACGCACCACATTTTCAATCTGAGTACTGAGTACAATCACAATCAGTGCGTTATTAGTACAGCACTAACCGCTTGTGTGTTGGAGAGTAAACCCACTACAACATTTACAATCTGAGTACTGAGTACAATCACAATCAGTGCGTTACTAGTACAGCACTAACCGCTTGTGTGTTGGAGAGTAAACCCACTACAACATTTACAATCTGAGTACTGAGTACAATCACAATCAGTGCGTTACTAGTACAGCACTAACCGCTTGTGTGTTGGAGAGTAAACCCACTACAACATTTACAATCTGAGTACTGAGTACAATCACAATCAGTGCGTTACTAGGACAGCACTAACCGCTTGTGTGTTGGAGAGTAAACCCACTACAACATTTACAATCTGAGTACTGAGTACAATCACAATCAGTGCGTTACTAGGACAGCACTAACCGCTTGTGTGTTGGAGAGTAAACCCACTACAACATTTACAATCTAAGTACTGAGTACACCACAATCAGTGCGTTACTAGTACAGCACTAACCGCTTGTGTGTTGAAGAGTGAACGCACTACAACATTTACAATCTGAGTACTGAGTACAATCACAATCAGTGCGTTACTACTACAGCACTAGCTGCTTGTGTGTTGGAGAGTAAACCCACTACAACATTTACAATCTGAGTACGACGTTTCGCCAGTAATTACCACCGGCACCGTCAGACGGACAGCCAGAATGGTCTCCACTCAATCCCCACCGTATCAAACACGGCAGCCATGGGCAGTGTTTTAAAAGCGGTGTTTTATTCAACTTCACCCAAACATCAACAACACTGCATTGACGACAAGACCGTGCAGGTGTGGGACTCCCCTAGGTCGACTCGGCCCCCAAACGAGTGCCAGGGGCACGGCCTGTAAACGTCGCCACTGGGGAGAGACAAAGGCGGCCGGGCGTTGGTGCGAGGGGCCACCCACCCCCTCGTGTGCCAGCAGTGCTGCTAGTAACAGTCACCCTACAGGTCTGTCAGGACTACACGGGGGACCTTTGTGCGAGTGTATGCACGTGTGTATGCACGTGTGTATGCACGTGTGTATGCACGTGTGTATGCACGTGTGTGTCACGTGTGACGCGCGTGATGCGCGAGTGTGTGTGTCACGTGTGGGTGTGTGTCACGTGTGGGTGTGTGTCACGTGCGAGTGTGTGTGTGTGTCACGTGCGAGTGTGTGTCACGTGCCAGTGTGTGTGTCACGCGCGAGTGTGTGTGAGACGTGCGAGTGTGTGTGTCACGCGCAAGTGTGTGTGTGAGACGTGCGAGTGTGTGTGTGTCACGCGCGAGTGTGTGTGTGTCACGTGCGGGTGTGTGTGTGACGTGCGAGTGTGTGTGTGACGCACGAATGTGTGTGTCACGTGCCAGTGTGTGCGTCACGTGCCAGTGTGTGAATCACGTGCCAGTGTGTGTGTGTGTGTGTCACCGCGCTATGAAACTGGTGGACCTGAGTTCGATTCCTGCTCTCACACGGCCATCGACACTGGGGGGGGGGGTGGGGGGAACAGCTGAACTGGGTCCTGGGCATCCTCCCCTAGGTCGACTCGGCCTCAAATGATCGCCGCCACCATGACCAGCTGCACGTCAACTCTCCACGGTGCCCGTGAGCGGCTCGGTGGGCGAGCGAGTGGACAGGTGAGAATCTGGACTGGGCCTTCCCGAGGCCGGCTCGGCCTCAAACGAGTACCCGGTGCGGTGTGCAGTAAACATCGCGACTGGGGGAGACAAAGGTGGCCGGGCGCGGTGCTGGCCACACCGAACCCCTCCCTCGTGCCCCGCGTAGGTGCCAGCCCTCGCCCCAACAGCCTCCGTGATGCTGCATGGGGGGGGGGGGGGGGCGCGCCGTTGTGTGCGACGAGATTCCCTGCATAGCGGTCTCCCTTGTCCGACAGCGGCGTCCCTATGAGACGCACGCAGACACGCGCAGATAGACACAGCACATACAGACGTAACGCAGACACGCACAGAGCACGCACAGAGCACGCACAGACACACACAGACACGCACAGAGCACACAAAGAGCACGCACAGACACACACAGACACAGATACACACAGAGCACACACAGACACAGAGCACGCAGAGCACGCACAGACACACAGAGAGCAAACACAGAGCACACACAGATACACACAGACACACAGCACGCACAGATACGCAGCACACACACAGACACACACATACACGCTCAGACACACACAGAGCACACACAGACATACACAGACACACACAGCACGCACAGACACACACAGAGCACGCACAGACACACACAGAGCACGCACAGACACACACAGCACGCACAGCCACAGAGCACACACAGACACACACAGCACGCACAGCACGCACAGAGCACACACAGACACACACAGACACACAGAGCACGCACAGACACACACAGACCACACACAGAGCACACACAGCACGCACAGAGCACACACAGACACACACAGACACACACAGACCACACACAGACACACACAGACCACACACAGACACACACAGACACACAGAGCACGCACAGACACACACAGACACACACAGACACACAGACCACACACAGAGCACACACAGAGCACACACAGAGCACACACAGCACGCACAGAGCACACACAGACACACACAGACACACACAGAGCACACACAGAGCACACACAGACACACACAGACCACACACAGACACACACAGACCACACACAGAGCACACACAGAGCACACACAGAGCACACACAGACACACACAGACACACACAGAGCACATACACAGCACGCACAGAGCACACACAGACACACACAGACACACAGAGCACGCACAGACACACACAGACACACACACCACACACAGAGCACACACAGAGCACACACAGAGCACACACAGCACGCACAGAGCACACACAGACACACACAGAGCACACACAGAGCACACACAGACACACACAGAGCACACACAGACACACACACAAGACATACACAGAGCACACACAGACACACACAGAGCACACACAGAGCACACACAGACACACACAAGCCATACACAGAGCACGCAGGCACATAGACAGAGAGATATTCGCTGTCATTGATCATGAGCGAGAATCCAACTCTGGTCGCTGGGTTCGTAGTGCGGTGCAACGCTAATCAGTGCAGCACCACTCCACCACCCTCTCACCCATCCACTCGTCCACCCGCTCACCCACCCACCCACTCACCCACCCACTCGTCCACCCACCCACTCGTCCACCCACCCACTCGTACACCCACCCACTCGTACACCCACCCACTCGTCCACCCACCCACTCGTCCACCCACCCACCCGCCCACCCACCCGCTCACCCTCTCACCCCCTCGCCGTGTGAGGAGGAGTCACATGGCCCCCGTGGTCCTCTGGATCTGCTCTTTGAGGATCATGATACTCTGCCTCTGCTCTGGTGGGAGGAGTGCAATCTGCTCTGGCGTCAACTGCAGAACCTGCATGATGAGGGCAGCCTGCACACACACAGATAGATACACACATAGATACACACACATACAGATACACACATACAGATACACACATACAGATACACACACACATAGATACACATAGATACACACACACATAGACACAACAGCCGCCATTGACCACTAAGTGGCGGTGACGTCACCACGACGCTTGTGCCAGGCCATGTGCACCTTGAGGCCACGTGAAGTGTCAAACGCCCACTGGCAGGAGGTCACGGGGCAGACCCAGCAGGTGACACGGGTCGACTGACTGAGATGACCTAGACGACTGGCTGATGCACCACCTGTGCCCCCTACTGTGCCAACCTGCTGTGCTTTATGCACCCGGCACTCCGCTCGTTGTTGTGAGCGTCACTCCTCCGCCCTCTGTTGTTGTTGGAGGGCGACTGCCTCCAACTGCACAGTAACATCCTTCACGAGCCTCCTCCACAGAGGCCGATCTTGACACTGCTCCACGTCCTCCTGTACCACGTCACTCCATCTCTTCTCTAGCCCGTGCCGCGCCCGTTTAGCCCCCTCGATCCGGCCGAACAAAAGCTGTATCGGCATGCGGTGGCTGGGCATGCGGGCTACATAACCCAGCCAACGCAGCCTTGCCTGGCGGAGGAGCTCACCGATGAGACCGTGCCCAGATCTTTCAAGGATTTGTGAGCTCCTCACACAATCCAGCCTGATTAAACCCAGGATGGATCGTAGGCAGGCCAGCCTAAATTTTTCTAACCGGCGAAGATGTTCTATTAGGGGGGTCCACGTTTCGCAAGCGTAGAGAATGGAGGGAATGACCGTGGCCGAGAAGACCTGAAGCTTAGTGCGGAGTGACAGACCAGGTAGCTTCCACACAGCATTACGCAACCGATGAAAAGATATTGCCGCTCGACTGATTCGGAGTGAGACCTCTGCTGTTAAACTGGAGCCGGTCATAAGCACACTGCCCAGGTATGGGAAACTCTTCACTCTCTCCACAACTGCCCCATCACCGATTGGGAGTTGTGGGGGTGGAGTGTCCGATGGTACAAAATACCCAGGCAGCTGCTTAGTTTTGGTGGGGCTGATGGTAAGGCCCCATCTCTTAGTAGCACGCTCCAGTCTCAGCAGCAGCGTCTCCAACTCTTCTGAATGAGCAGCTATTACCAAACCATCGGCATACGTAACGTGGTTGAGCAATAGGGAGCCATCCCTTGACTGCACCCGGGCATCGATCAGCCTCCCATTATATCTGTACCATATGGAGATTCCCCCGGTACAGCTATTGAAGGCTTCACGAACTACGTGGTCAAAATAGATGCTAAATAATGTGAGAGCCAGAGGACATCCCTGTCACACTACAAGGTGTATAGGGAATGGCTCTGACTCCCGGCCATGTAGTTTTACCCGGGCCCACTCACCATCATGAAGGTCCTTAATGATCGTGAGCAGAGGGTCAGATACTCCAAAAGCACGAAGAACAACCCAGAGCCCAGGCCTTCTGATGGTATCATAGGCCTGGACCAGGTCAATAAAGCAGAGATGTAGGTCTTGCTGGAATTCCCTACACCTCTGCTGTAGCAGACGGACAGAAAATATGGCATCTGTGCAGGACCGCCCTTTCCTGAAACCGCATTGGGGCTCGGCAAGCCTCTCCTCAGCGTGCCTGGCAAGGCGATGTTGAATAATCCTTGCCAGGACCTTTCCCGGCACACTGAGGAGTGAGATGCCCCTGTAGCTGTTACAGTCTGTGCGGTCCCCCTTCTTAAAGAGGGGGACCACCAGGGCATCCTTCCAATCCTCCGGAACCCGTCCAGTGGTCCAGACTGTTGTTATGATGTCATATAGGGCAGTCTGTGCACAAACGCCACCCTCTCTCAGCATTTCGCTTGGGAGATCATCTCTGCCCGCTGCCTTTCCTGGTCTCAGACTCCAGATCGCCTTCAGTACTTCCTCAACAGATGGCACTTCAGCCAGCCACTCACAGGGGGTGACTTCTTCCAATATTTGAGGCACCGCAGCCTCAGCAGGGTCACCCTCACTTTGTGCCACGATGTTTTCCTGGCTGAGGGATTTTCCCTCCCCCAGGACCTCACAGAAATGCTCAGCACATCTGCAAACCTGTTCCTGGGGGTCGGAGATTGGATCACCGTTTTTTCCCCTAATGATGGTAATAGGTGTGGCGCTGCAGGTTACTTTTTTGATGGAGTTAAATAGAGATTTGTGATCGCGGGCCACTGAGGCACACTCCATCTCCTCAGCAACCCGCGACCACCACCCATCCTTGCAGCGCCTCATGGCTCTCCGAACCTCCGAGCGAAGGCTGCGGTAAGCCTCCTCATTCTCTAACGTGGGATTCTGTAGCCGATGACAGTGGGCCTATCGCTTTTTCTCAACCATCCTGAACACCTCATCTGTCAGCGAGGGTCTCTGGGGAGGTCTGGACCGCGTACCCAAAGCAGCCATTGCAGCTGCATGAGTTACAGTCCTAAACCTCGCCCATTTACCCTCGACATCAGGAGGAGTGGGGGACGATGGCAATCCCAGCCGCAAGCGATGATGAAATTCTCGCTTGCAACTTTCATCAGATAACTGAGACCAGGCCACTTTAGGTTGGAATGGGGTCCTGGGTGTACACCCACCACCGGAGTGGAAGAATGGCAGGCGCATCTTACAGGTGACTAATCGATGGTCAGAGGGCAGATCAGCTCCACGGTAGGTCCTGGTGTCAAGGACATGGGCTCGCATCCGCTGGTCCGTCAATATGTAGTCCAGCAGATGTTCTTGCTTGGACCCGGCATGCATCCATGATGTTGTGTGGATGCGCCGATGCCGGAACAGCGTGTTGGTAATTACAAGCCCATGGGCTGTACAAAAATCTAGCAGCCTCCTACCATTGTTATTGAGCTGATCTGGCCCATGCCCTCCAATCACTCCAGACCAGGTGCCAGCATCATGACCAACTCGGGCATTGAAGTCACACAACAAGATGACTATCCCGAGGTGCCACTTTAGCCAGCACCTGTGACAGGAGGTCATAGAAGGCATCTGATTCATCGGCTTTGCCTGCATCCCTCCACGGACCACCACTCCTCGCTTCCGGTTGATGGGAAGGCGAGCCCAAAGTAGCCTGGGGCTTACAGCTTCCCACACCTCACCGTCACGCTCCCACGCCCACTTCATTCTTTTGTTCAAACGAAGAGCCACACCCTTTTGTTTGGCAGTCTGCTGCCCCGAGTAGAGAACCGGTCCACCGGACCTCCTGAATGCCACAGAGATCCAGGCGGTACCGGTCCAGCTCCCGACAGAGGAGTGGCAGCCTCTCCTCCGCAGTGAGTGTTCGAACATTCCACGTGGCCATCGGTAGTGACTTTTCGTTGTTTCTGGAGGAGCCCCGAGGTTACAGATTCAATCTCCTGGCTCCGCCAATTGGGGTTTGGCCAGGAGACGTCATAGACGCCTGTCCCCCCTCCGGCACAAGCTTATTAGTTACATATTTCAGTTTAACTCGTGGTTTAGTGGTAATTAATTGAAGGTGGAGGGGTTACCAGCCCCTCACACCTGTCCAGAGCCCCCGTCTGTGTCCACTGTGGTGGACACAGACAGTGCTGTGGGGGAGAGCCAATCAAAATTGGCTCTCCCCCACAGCACTGTCCACGACAGAGTTGCCCGTCCGGCACCGCGAGAAAGATACACACACACATAGATACACACACAGATACACACATAGATACACGTAGATACACACACACATATAGATACACATAGATGCACACACATACACATAGATACACACACATACACATAGATACACACACACACACATAGATACACGTAGATATATACGCACAGATACACACACATATAGATACACACACATAGACAACACACAGATACACACACAGATACACACACAGATAGATAGATACACACATACATACACACATACACAGATACATAGATACATAGATACAAAGACAAAGATCCCCCATATAGCCTTAACAGACTGTAGGGGCAAGTGCTGTTAGCGAGCACCTATGAAGGCCGGTAACGGTACACGAGGGGGTGGGTGGCCAGCACCACGCCCGACCGCCTTTGTCTCCCTAGTGGCAATGTTTACACACTGTACCAGGTACTCATTTGAGGCTGAGTTGACCTAGGGGAGGCCCGGGACCGGTTAATATAATCGTCACTGGTGTTGGCCGTGAGCGGGAATCGAACCCGTGTCGCCAGGTTCGTAGCGCACCGTGCTAACCGCTACACTACCGCTCCCCTACATAGATAGACACACATACACAGATACATAGATACACACACAGATACACACATTGATACACACATTGATACACGCAGATACACACATTGATACACACATTGATACACACACACACATATATACACACAAATACACACACATTGATACACATTGATACACATAGATACACACACATAGATACACACAGATACACACTGATACACATAGTTACACACACACACGTAGATACATACACAGATACATAGATACACACACATTTATACACCTAGATACACACACAGATACACAGATACACATTGTGTGAGTGAGTGAGTGTGTGAGTGTGTGAGTGAGTGTGTGAGTATGTGAGTGAGTGTGTTAGTGAGTGTGTTAGTGTGTGAGTGTGTGAGTGAGTGTGTGAGTGTCTGAGTGAGTGTGTGTGTGAGTGTGTGTGTGTGAGGTCCGGCAAAACAACCCCCTACCTCCTCGCGGTGCCGGACGGGCAACTCTGTCGTGGACAGTGCTGTGGGGGGAGTTCCAATTTTGATTGGCTCCTCCCCTCATGGCATATGTGTCCACCACAGGGGCTAAACGGGGGCTCTGGACGGGTGCGAGGGGCTGGTAACCCCTCCACCTTCAATTAATTACCACAAAACCACGAATTAAAGTGAAATATGTAACAACTAAGCTTGTGCCGGAGGCCCCGGGGGGCCAGGCGTCTATGACGTCTCCTGGCCAAACCCCAATTGGCGGAGCCAGGAGATTG